GGGTGTAGTTGTGTCTTATGGGGACTGTTGTTGTCTCCCACTCAATTAGACACAAATTACAATTGAATAACCTTCAAAAAACTTGTCAGTCTTGTCACGAGTGTCCTTGGGGTTGCTGGAAAGCAGAATGTGTTCTTAAACCCTAGGAATCTGCAAGAGCGCTGTCTCTTTAAATATCCAAAATAGTCAAGCCACTTTTTAAACCTTCAAAATGGCAGCGACCGGCAAAATGTCCACAGCTCAGCCCACCTTTATCTTCACCTTCTCCGTTTGTTCCCCAGCCACCATGCACAATCCTCCATGTGGTCCCTGGCCAGCAGGGTGATTTTTATGTTAATTCTTAAGTCCTACCACCCGACTCGACGGCACATAACAACAACAAACACCACCACAGGAATCTGCGAGAGTGCTCTTTAAATATCCAAAATGGTCAAGCCACTTTTTAAACCTACAAAATGGTGGCACCCTCTGGACCAGCAAAAGTCCACAGCTCAGCCCACCTTTCTCTTCACCTTTTCTGTTTGTTCCCCAGCCACTGTGCACAGTCCTCCACGCAGTCCCTGGCTACCAGGGTGATTTTTCGGTTAATTCTTAAGTCCTACCACCACTCAGGAATCTCCAAGCTGTCTGTGCCGTCAGGATCGCTCAGGATCGTTGCCAGACCGCAGCTCCGTATGTCTCCTTTTTTAGTATTTTCACACAAATTCTTCTGCTAGTTGGGGTTTAGTCCACTTCTATATCCTTCCCTTCAAGGCTCAGGGGTCCAGGATTATCTTCTGTGTCTGTGTTAAATGGTTTCCCTTTTCTTTGCTGAAGAGGGTCTGTGCAGTCTTTTTGCCTAGTCCACCATCTTGCCGGAACCTCCTAGACTATCAGTGTTTTGTGTTGCTACCATGCTAAATACGTTTCAGCAGTGTTTCCAGACTAAGATAGACTAGAAAAGAAGGCCTATTTCCAAAAATCAGTCAACAAAAACCCAACCTGATCCATGATGATGGGACCAGACAGTTTCACTCCACTGTACGTAGGGTCACCATGAGTTGGGAAATGACTGGACAGCATCTAATAACAACTACAACAAGGGTCACTGTAAAGACAACATAGTAGAGTTTAAGGCAGAAAAATAACATTATCTGGCCTACACTTCAAAGGGAAAATTGTGGCATTACACTGCAGAAGAGTCTCCATGGGGGCAAGCACAATTATATACAGGGACACAAGCTAAAGATTACTACCATAATCCAGAAGAAAGATGATGATGCCATACAGCAGCATGGTAGCAAAGGAGATTTTGAGAAGTAATCAGATTATAAAGTTAACTTGAACACAGAGCTGATCACATATGACAGTGGGGTAGATTAAGGATGGGAAAGAAAGACTTATAAATATATGAGGTAAAATAATAAAACTCTCAGGAGAAAATACAGGAATAAATCTTCATCACCTGGGATTAGACAATGGTTTCTCAGATATAACAGCTAAAGTACATGCTAAAGCAGTCAAATGCCTTAGGCACTACACCACCAGAGCTCCTTAGAGTACAAGTGTTGTTGTTGTTGTTATGAGCCATTGAGTCGGACCCGACTCATAGTGACCTCTCCTTGGGTAGTACAAGAAAAATTTAACTGAACTTTTATCAAAATTCAAAACTGCTGTGATTCAGGACACTATCATGAAAGTAAGAAGACAACCTACAGAATAGAAGGACAGGTTTGTAATTCGTACATCTAATAAAGGGTCTGGTATCCAGAATATATAAAGAACTATTGAACTCAACAAAAAAAGACAAACACCCTAGTAAGAAATGGGCAAAGGACTTAAATATATCTTTTTCCAAAGATATATAAACAGACAACAAGCATATAGAAACGTGTTTAACATCACTACTCATCAGGAAAATACACATAAAAACCACAATGAAATATCGATTCATACCTACTGGGTTGGCTATAAGAAAAAAAATTTAAAAAAAAAAGAAAATAGCAAGCGATGGAGAGAATGTGGAGAAACTGGTCAATTTTCCAAGGATCACATTGAGACTTCATAGCTAAATTAAAATTTTGTTTTGCTTGCATATGATTTCCTAGTATAATTTAAAATATTTAATTCTATCTCATTTTTGTTTCTTTAGAACATTTAATTATGTGTTTTTCTTACTTTCTTTCTGAATTCTCTTTACATTTTGTCCCCAGTCTCTTGGTGTTTTTCATTTGTCTGTAAGGTTCCTTAAATACACAGTCAGTTTTAACCATGCTCGTGCCCTTGTCATATAGTCTTCATTTGTGAAATGATTATCTCTTTTTCTTCTTTAGGTGGCTCCTGTTTCCCACCTTCATATTGTTTATTCTTTTTTTTCCTTCTATTGTTGCATTTCTAGCTACTACGAGGCATATGTGACTATTTAAAATTAAAATGTAATTAATTAAAATTAAATGAAATAATTCAGTTCCTCCCCTACACTTGTCATATTCCAAGTGCTGAGGTGGCTATTGTTATTTTGTATCATCAAGTCCATCCCAAGTCATAGCAACCCAATAGGATAGAGTAGAACTTTGCCATAGGATTTTCAAGGCAGAAGGCTAGCGGTTCAAACCCACCAGCCACTCCTCAGAAGGAAGGTTGGGCAATCTATTTCTGTAGTGATACTTCCTCGGAAACCCAAGGAGGGGTCGCTATGAGTCGGGTCCGACTCAACGGCACATAACAACAACAACAATAATCATTACAGCAGCAGACTGACATATTTTTCTCCCACAGAGAAGCTGGTAGATTTGTTCAAACTGCCAAGCATTTGGTTAGAAGCCAAGTACTTAACCTCTGTGTCACCAGGGTTCCTTCTGTTATGGCTACTGGTTGCATATTGGAAAACACAGATATAGAACATTTCTATCACAGTAGAAAATGCTACTACTCTGTTCTGGTAACTTCATAAGGAGCCTTGCTGGTGCAGCACTTAGAGCTCAGCTGTAAACTGAAAAGTTGTCAGTTTGAACCTACCCAGCAGCTCCATCAGAGAACAATACTTATTTTTACTCAGATATTTGTTTCCAAATTATTTTTTAAATGCTAGTTATGACCCATGAAGCTGAATTCAAATTCACTAATCACTCAAAACTGAACATCTGAAAATATTCATAGGAAAATCTTAAGAGCAACTCAAATTTCAGAAAGTGTTCTGTTTTGTTGTTTTTGTTTTTAAAATAATTGATTCTAAAGTAATCAATGTAATTAGTCAAACTCTACATGCACAAGAAATACACTATCTCGTGAAGAAACAGATGAAAAAATGCTTACCGCTTATTGCAGTGGAGGTCATAGATTGGTGTTTTAAACTGAATGGACTTGACCATCTCCCCAGTGCGAAGTGAGTATAGATCCACACAACAGTAAGGAGGGCTTGTGCTAAAAGACAATAAAAGCTACTATTAATATTCCCGATTAACACATTTTTAGAATCCTTTATAGATATAATTTCAGCAATTAACTCCAACCTTAAAGGAAGACTCATCATATATCTAATATAGGAATATAAAATTAGGGGAGAAAAATCAGTATTATCCACTAAATTAACATTCTATATAAGAAAAAACATACAATTATCTCAGTAAGTAAAGAATGTTGTCATTGTTATGTGCTGTTGAGTCAGACCTAACTCATACCAAACCCTCCAGGGTTTCTAAGGTGGTATCACTGTGGAAATACATTGACCAACCTTCCTTCCGAGGAGTCAAATGCCTTAGACACCAAGCTACCAGAGCTCCTAAGTAAAGAACAGCATCTGTTAAAATTAAAAATCCAAACCAGTGAAATAGAGAATAAACCCCTCAACACTAATCTGTTTGAATAACAATCAGAAAACAGAATGAAGAAAAATGAAGAGCACCTAAGTGATATGTGGCATACTATCAAGAGGAAGAATTTACACATAACTGGAATTCCAGAAGAGGAGGAGAGAGAAAAAAAGCACAAACCCACCAACTTCTCCACAGGAGAAAAGACCTGTCAATCTGCTCCTATAAATATTACAATCTGGGGAACCTTATGAGACAGTTCTAACCTATCACAGGTTCGCTATGAATTGGAATCGACTCCACAGCACACACACACACACACACAAAACGAGGGGCACGATTATACCCACTAGAATGGCTAAAATTTACAAGATTGTCAATATCAAGTGATGACAAGAAAATAATATAATTGAAACCTTCAGACATTTCTGTTGGCAAAGAACAAGTCACTTTTGAAAACAGTTAAGCAATTTCTTAAAAATCTAAAAACATATCTTTACCATATGTCACAGCAATTTCTCTACTAGATTACTTGTTTATTTATAATAACAAAAACTGTAAACCATTCAATGTCCATCAGTAGATAAATAACTTGTGATATACTGATACAACAGAATAAACCAAAAATCCAAACTCACTGCCATTGAGTCATTTCTGACTCATAGCAACCCCTCTTTGGGTTTCTGAGGCGGTATTTCTATGGAAGTAGATTGCCCAATCTTCCTTCTGAGGAGTGGCTGGTGGGTTTGAACCGCCAGCCTTCTGGTTAGCAGTCAAAAGTCTTAGGCACTACGTCACCAGAGCTCCAGATACTACTCAACGATTAAAAAGAACAAATTAGTTATTCGTTCCACAACATACATCAATCTTAAAAACATTATGCTAAGTGAAAAATCAGATATAAAAGAATATATACTGTAAGAGTCCTTGTAGGTGAAAATCTAAGAGAAACATAAAAGAATAACAATAGGAAACAGATTTGTAGTTCTTAAGGGCCAGGGAAGAAAGGAATGTATAGAGAGCAAATTGGCAGGAGAAACTTTTTGAGGTAATGAAATGTGTTATATCTTGTATACTACTGGCAAAACTGAAGGGAAGGAAAGAAAATAGTGAAATGTGAAATCAATCTCTAAAACTGACACAGGCAAAAATTCTTATCTTATTCCATTCCTATGCTGAGAAGGAATGAGTTAATAATGAAGGAAATCTAACATTTTGCCAGACTAACTGGGAGGGAAACAACAGCTTGTCATTTTCAATTAGCAGCTCATTATAGCTACAGCAAACTAGAAACTGAAATTTTGATCACTTCACTGACATCCATACAATGTCACAACTGAGATTCTTCCTGTAGAGAGCCCTCAGTGAAAGTAGACAAAACAAATGCTATGAAGATTTAGCTCAGAGCGTACTGAACAAGGCTTGGCAGAACTAAAAACTCTACTAATATATGGAAAAAATGTCTCATTCAAAGTCTAACAGAAAAAGATAATTCTTTAAAACAAGAGCCTTCACAAAGTCACACATTCATGTAGCAATCAGCACACTTCCTGCCAATAACACAGTTGTGTGCACGCCCGACATATCCTTTTGTCCTCTGTTTTCTCTTTCTTTAAAAGAAAGTTTTGACCATTCCCATGGGACATAGCAGACAATCCCAATTTCAGTCAAGGGCTGGCTGATGAAAAGCTTTCCACATCGCACAGTAACTATGCTCCGTAACAGAAAGGACACATGTTATAGCGAGATATACAGAAATGAAACAAGCTTTAATTTACTACATATATGGTTTAGGAAACAATGCCACAGGAAAGTGTTACACTTGATCTGCTTTCTACAAAGTTCAAATGTATTAACACTTCCCCCACCCCAGTGGAATTTTTTTTTTTTTTAATAGTGATTCGGGTTAAAGTTTACAGAGCAAATTCACTTTCCATACACCAGCTCACATACACTTTGTGTCATGACATTGACTACAATTTACCACAAAATTATGGTAAATTGTAGTCAATGTATTAACACTTTTAAAGGTGGTGGTGGACATTTAAACATAAAGAAAGCTATAACTTCATATTAAAGACAAACCTAATAGTTGAAGAAAAACAAGTTTCTAGTAGGCATTTTGAGAGGCAAATTTACAATGTGATTAAATCTATTTCAAGTAAAAGCAAGAGTTGGATGAAAAGTAGAATGACATAATTGCTATTAATAAGTAGCTGTTTGAAGACTTCTAAATTGTGCCCAAGTTCCTTAGCATTTGAAACAAGTAGATATCAATATGCAAAATAGTTACTTTATACTTTTCATGATAAATATAAAATAGAAATAAATGCAAATTATCCTTTCAACTTACCTTTTTTTTTTTTTTCCTCCTAAGTAACTTGTTTTATAGTGATCTACCAAGCATGTGTGTTGGAAAAATTTTTATCACAAAAACCTGTTCCCTACTTTACATCTGACCTACATCTATAAAGGAAGTTATTAACCTTTTATTGGGAAAGAAAAGTTCTCATTTTGATATATTACAGCCGCCAAAGCCATGGAATTTACATTTTCATTTCAATGAAGAGGACTGATTGCATTTATTTAAAGATCTGATTTTTAAAACTGCTTCCACTATTAAAAATGAAATAGTAAATTAAGCAATTATGAACTATAAACAAAATAGTTAAACTGTATTTCTTAAAAATTTCTTTTAAAGTAAAAATATTTAAAATGTTGTCATACAGAAATAAACACAACAAAGCACTCGACATTTTCATTAAAAAAAAAAAAATCCCTATAGTTTCTGTGGTAGTTAAGTTTGTGTGTCAACTTGTCTGGGCCTCGTTGAGTGGCTGGGCAGCTGGATGTAGTTATTCCCCATAGTGAGACTGGTAATTAACTCCATTGTGGAATCTATTGGAGCAGCTGAGTAGCTGCTTTAGTGATGTGGTCTGCTTCCAGTATATAAGAAGCAACTTTGAAGAAGGTCTTCAGCTTTTTGGAACGTTTGAAGCCTGCTTGTAGCCGAGTCTTCTTTCAGTAGCCTGCCATGCTCTGCCAATCTTGGGACTTTAAATGGACTTGAATTAATGCCTGCTGTGTGGTTTGGTAACACTGGGACTGTGCCTTTTTATTTCTCGACCTTGGGTTTCTCAGCCTCAGCAGCCAGCCTGAGTGAAGAAAGCCTCCAGCTTCAGTGGACCAGGAGCCTATGGACAACACAAGGAAACACTGCCCAGTCCTGCACCACCCTCAAAATCTTTACTATGTTTAAAGCCATTATTGCAGCTACTGTGACAATCTATCTTGTTGAGGGTCTTCCTCTTTTTTACTGACTATTTTAACCAAGCATGATGTTGTTCTCCAGGGAATGGTCCCTCCTGATACAAAGTCTAAAGTACAAGGATGAAATTTCTCGAAAGAGCACTCTGGCTGTACTTCTTCCAAGACAGATTTGTTCATTCTTCTGGCAGTTTGTGGTACATTCAATATTCTTTGCCAACACCATAATTCACATTAAATCAATTCTTCTAGTCTTCCTTACTCATTGTCTAGCTTTTGCACACATAAGAGGTACAAAAATACCATGGCTTGGGTCAAACACACCTTAGTCCTCTAATTTTTAACACTTTAATGAGGTCTTTTGCAAAAGACCTGGCCAAACAGAAAATGGGCCTCTCGAAGAGTATGAAGGGATGGACACTGGGAGGAGGTAACTATGGGGAGGAAGTGGGAGGGGAGCTGCTGCATTGTAAATTTTGGTCAATGACATGAGACAAAGTATATGTGAACTGCTGTATGAAAAGTGAATTTACTCTGTAAATCTTCACCCAAATCCTAATAAAAAAAAAAAAGACCTGGCCAAAGCAGTACATCGTTTTGATTTCTTCACTGTTGCTTCCACTGGAGGCAAACGAAATCCTTGGTAACGTCAACCTTTACTCCATTTATCATAATGTTGCTCGTTGGTCCAGTTGTGAGGATTTTTCTTTTCGTTGAGGTGTAACGCATTCTGAAAGCTGTAGTCTTCATCAGTAAGTGCTTTGATTCCTCTTCACTTTCAGCAAGCAAGGTTGTGCCATCCATATATTGCAAATTGTGAACGAGACTTCCTCCAATCCCGATATTGCGTGCTTTCTTATATAGTTCAGCTTCTCAGATTATCTGCTCAGGATACAGATTGAATAAGTATGGTGTAAGGATACAACCCAGACACACACTTTTTCAGATTTAAACCATGCGGTATCCCTTTGTTCTGTTCAAATGACTACCTCTCGGTCTATGTACAGGTTCCACATGAACACAACTAAGGGTTCTGGAATTCCCATTCTTTGCAATGTTATCCATAATTTGTTATGATCCACATCGTTGAATGCCCTTACAAAGTCAATAAAACATCTTCTGGTATCCTCTGCTTTCAGTCAAGATTCATCTTGTGACATCCCTCATTCCATGCCCTCTTCTGAATCCACCTTGAATTCCTGGCAGTTTCCTATCGATATACTGCTGCAACTGTTTTTGAATTGTCTTCAGAAAAGATTTACTTGCATATAATACTGTTAAATAATTTCCACAGTATGTTTGAACACCTTATTTGGAATGGGCACAAATATGGTCCTCTGCAGT